AGGTTTTTTTTTAGAGGGATTCTATTGTAATATGCAGGAGATGGAACACAGGCTCTAATTTTTCAGCCAGCAGCAGGAAATGCCACTGAACAATGGCTATGGACAGAATTTTACTAGTCAGATTTTGTTATAAAATCTTTTATATTTAGGCAAGTATTACCAGTAGTGAGTTTATAGCCATTGTGAGTGCAAAGAAACACTGGGAAGTTTTTCTGAGCATTATGGCACAGTATTTTTGAGCCCACAGTAAACCTCTACAGACATACTGCTATGGAAGAAGAAATTTAGAAGTAAGTTTTCTTGGAATGTTTTTAGTGAGTTAAATGCAAGAAAATCTGCTTTCACCTTACCTTTGATAAGGTTGACAGTGGTCAGTCTAGATCTTTGTTTCAGGAGAGCATGCATTGGAGAAGAGACCTGCCTGGAATGGTATTTTCATGAGATGCAGCTACAAGTCATTTGGAGCACTAAAGAAAACCAGGTTTTTGCTTCAGAGGAAAATATGGTGTTTATCCAAGTAATGTGGTGGTTATACCACCTATGGAGGTCAGCATATCTTATCTGGATTCATGTGTGATTCTGCTGAAATTGCTGTTTGAGAGTAATAGAATAATACTTTTGAGAAGTTGTGTTCATAGTGTAACAAAATAGCTAATTGAATTGCAATATATTTTTTTATCCAAAGGGTTAAATGAATGATGTGACTTACAGATTTAAAAGCATTGCAACCATGAAATTCTTTAATTTAGCAAATAAATGTACTACTTCAGATTCATGTTTGTTTAAAAGAAAAAATGTCACTGAAGCCCTCAATTTATGCACTATTTTTTCCTTGGAATGGGAGAGAGAAGAAAGACTTCTTTTCTTAGCTGTCTACTTTGTTTGGACACTTTCTTTTGTGGCTCAAGTGCTGTTTTGTGTGTTGGGACCAAACAGTTGTCAATAAAATTTTCAAGCAAGCATAACTCTTGTCCTTGTCTCAAAACCTGTGGGGAGAAGCCAAACAAAAAACAAACCAACCTCTAGAATACTTAACTTGCTGTGTCATGGTAAATTTAATTATTGAGACAGAACAGAGCTGGGGTTTAGTGAGGACTAAAGAAACATAAATTGTGGAGGTTGAAGTTTTTTCCTGGATTTTGCTATTGAGCTGTTTGCAGATGCAGTCAGTGTCTCTCACTGCTCTCCATGCAAGGTCATGTGTAGGGTTTACTTTGAAAAGGAGCTGTGTTATTTATCATGCTAAAGAGGAAAAATGGAGAAAGGGGTGTAAATCCAGCAGGTGGATGTCAGGTGTTCCTCCTCAGTGTGTCTCCCTGTGGGATGTTAAAATTGTTGCAAATAAGGTCATGTGGACAGTAATAAAGTTAATGAGTCACTTTTGAGTTATAATGGCCTTTTCCAGCTTGAAGATGGTAATTATTCAGGAACTACAAATATGGCAAATTTCTTTCACTGAGGGGTTTTGAAATTTAGAATCTTAACAAAACAAAGCTTCAACTAAACTGAAGTGTTTTGTCATCTCACAGCTTCATGGACAAAACTAGAGACCTGGATGAGCTGTTCCCGACTTTCTCTTTTTTGGGTTTTTTTTGGTTTTGTTTTGTGACATATTCTCACTCAACAGAACTGTTAAGTGGAGTCTGCTGGAATAAATGTCAGGCCTGTTGCAGATAAGCAACCACTTGAGCTTACAGGGTACCTGTTCACTAAACAATTTTAAAGTAACTACCTAAAAAACTTACTGGGAAATTCTTCACAAACAATGTAATAAATATTCCTCTTGGAAATAATGAATTCTCCTCTCTGAAAGGAGGAACAGGTGGTTTATAAAACCTTCCTAGAGCAGCACCACAAACCCTATAATCACCACTGTGTAATTTCATTTTTCAGTATTGTGAATGTTTTTAAGTAAATGAATGAGTAAAATCCCTCATAGCACCTGGTATGTGATTACCTTCAAAAGATGAGTGATTTTAAATGCTGATTGGGTTCTGTGCTGCAAACATTCCCACTTCTTTTATTCTCACTCATTTTATGTTAAGCCATCTGTTTAAAATTAGTAAAAAAGAGGTGATGGAAATAGCTTTAATTTTTTTTCCTAAAATTAATATGGCTTATTTTGCTTGCCATAGTGTAACAGGTCAGACTAGTTGCATGGTATGAGCCATGGTTTAACTCCTATTAATAGCATTTTCCTAGCAAGCATCACTTCAAATGCTGTATTCCTTCCTGTATGACTGTTTTTGTTTAGTATTACTTAGGTGGATAAAGACAGAAACAAATCCTAATTCAAGTGATGATCAGAATGGCTTGTAGTGCTATATGTATGCTACAGAATGCAGATTTCTCTAAATAGGGAATGCCATTTTACAAGAAATTCCTGAAATGCCACTTCAGGATGTTATGGGAGCATGTTTTGACATGGCTGTCAAAGCACTGTTGCATGTCATGCCGTGGCTCAAGTGTCACATCAGTCTATCAGTTATTGAATTCAAAACTGAGGAATTGCATCCTGCCTGTGTCATGGAGGAGAAAAACAACAAACTCTCTGTTGGTGTAGCTGGGATGAGGTAATTGACTGCAAGAAACTTGATAGTAGCTGCAGTCATCTCTCTGGTTTTGTGATCAAGCCTGTTGAAGTCCACTGCTCTCTGTAACTGATGAGATTCACTGTTTAGGCATCAGTTTAAACACCTCTTAGTGCCTTACCACAATTCTTTCACTCTCCCATGAAGTGTTGTTGCAGAAAACTGCCTCTCATTAAGAAACAAGAAAGCAAAATTAAATGTGAGGGGAGATCTCCTGTGAGCCCCCTCCCTGCTCATCCCTGAGCCAGAGTTGCTGCTGAGGCTGTTGGGACCCAGGCTCAGGGGCTGAGCTGTTCTCAGCATCCCAGGATCCAGGCTCAGTGGCTGAGCTGTTCTCAGCATCCCATGTAAGTCTTGTGTGCACATGGGAGGGAGAGGGAGTTTTGGCCTTTAGGTAATATTTTTGGTATTATCCTGTTTGAAAGCAGCCTGCTGCCTGGCTGTTTATAGGCTGGATGGGGTCATGTAAAACAAGGTGCACTTGGGTAACAATGATAGCATTTATGCTGGGGTGAGGGAGGATTTTTGTTCATTTCAGTAACACCAGGGCTCTCTTGACTTGGCAGTTCTGATGCTCAGATGAGTTGGGACCCTTTTATTCTCAGTGTAGGGCTGGGAACTGCCTCTAACCTGAGCAGGCTCTGGGCTGTAGTGAGGTTCCAAAGTCATCTTAGTGCATTATGAGATTGGCTTTTCTTTATTCAGCGAGAAAATCCTTTATTTCAGTAGCATCTCAAACTTACCCCTCAGCATTACTCCTTTTGTGCAGAGTGGTAACCTCAGTGTTTTTTGACAAGTGTAGCAACACAGGAACTGCATTCCATTCCACTCCACAACCAACTTTTCCTCAGTAACAGGAAGAAACAAAGGCTTAGTATAACACAGCAGCTTAGTTTATTTGGAAATATGTTTAACTTGGAAGAGATTCAGTAGGCCTGGGGAAGGTACAAGAGAACCATTTGCTGGTGGAATTGGTGATTTGTACAAACAGCACTTCAGCACTTTTGTTTTTCTCAGTAGACCAAGATCCTTTCCTGAACGCAGTCATGTTTACCAGAGTGTGTCAAATCCACCTTACACATTCTTCCACACACTCTTCCTTTTCCACTGCCTTGCCCTCTTTCTGAAGTGATAAATAGCCAGGATTTCCAGAAGAGATACTGGGTGCCTCCATCAATGTCCCTCTCTGCTGACAGTGACTGATAGCTGAAAATCAACTCTGAAATGATGCCAGTTACTCCATATAGTCACCCAAAGATACTTGTCTGATACTGTGCTGATTTATATATGGGGATTGTACAATGTGTTGTGCTCACAGGATCAAGGAAGTTACAAAGCCCCTAGTTGTTCTTGGTATATTCAGTGATTTTGTCTGGTTTTTAAAAATAAGGGTCAAGACTTTTACACTTAATTCCTTCCTAAATTTACAAGAGTTTTACACTTAATTCCTTCCTAAGTTTAATTTGTTTAATTGCAGCCATTAGCTTTGCCATCAGCCACAAGGGCTCTGCTGTGCTCTAGATAGGCAACACTAAAGCAGTGTTGAACACAGTTGAGAATGGGACCTTACAGTCTTAAAAATCCAGGGCTTTATTGCTAAGCAGCATCACTGACCCACTAACCACTTGTGCACTGCAGGCAAGCTCTTCAAACCCACCCAAATAAACAAAGAAATTTGCTAATTAAAAACAAAAACTGGATACAGAAAACCTTCCAGCTGAGCCAAGCTAGAACTTCTGAAAATGAAGTTCACTCTCATTAACACTGCTGGAGTTGAAGTCCCTCTGGGGCACTGGCTGCCAGTGCTCAGCTGTAAGAATATTGCACATTCCTACTCGCTGTGTTTCTTTTTGGTTTTAATTAAAGGAGATTGCTCTGGAGCCTGGTCATGAGTGTTGCTTCACAGAAATGTCTGTTTCTTGCTAATGAAATTTTTTCATGGAAACCAAAATTGCACTCACTTTATTTCATCCCCAGGTGGATTCTGTGCAGCCTGTAGGGATCACCCCTCTCATCAGCACAGCCTGGGTTAAACACTCATGTGCAGGAGTCACCTCAGGCCTTAAAAACCACTTGCAAAGTCCTTCTGGACCCTTTATGGGTGCCATTCACAGCTGATCCCCCTAAGGTTTAAAGTTGGTGCTTCACCACAGCTTTTTCCTTGACTCCCATTTGCCTTTATTAGTGACACTGAGCATCTGCCTCTTGCCCTTAGACACTGACAATTCCCGATGTCTACACTGGGTACCAGCAAGAGCCTGTGGAATTTTACAGGAGCCAGTGGGTGTTTCTTTCCCTCCAGTGTGTATTTTCTCCCGTAAAAGCAGTTTTCCCCATAACTGTAAATGCACACAGGTGCCCTGCAGAGCCCAGCCCACAACAGGTACAGACTGTGAAGCTACAGGGTGGTGTATGTCTCAACAAGGACACAATAATCATACATGAGACTCAGCCTTTGTTCTCCTTCCTGCATCTTTGGTCAAATTAATTAAAGTGCTTCATGTCTCAGTGGAAACCTTTTGTGTTTTTTCCTCTTTGATCCTTAAAACTGAAGGTACTTAGTGATGTTGGTTCTTTGTCTCAAGTGAGTCTGCAATACTGAAATTATTCTGGAAATTAAGTGGTTTTCATCAAATCAGTCAGTGCTAGGGATTAGGTTTTATAAGGATAGCCTGAGTTACTTTAGATGGTGTCTATTACCTTCAACCTTAATTAGATACTTTTTCTCTCTAAAAAAATAACTGTTTATCCTTTTGGGGTAACTGCTGTTAATTTTTTCTCCTTTCCTACACTGTGGTTCCTTGGTATATAAGCACACACTTCACTTAGCTGGCTTCACAAAATGGAAGTTCCTTTTGCAAAATGTTACTTTAGGAACTTGTTGCTATCTTTTGTTATTTCTAAGCCTGAGATTGTCACACTAGATCCATGTACGTTTATTTTACTATTTACACCTATCACAGTACATTTATATGGAATACCATCACACAGACAAACCAGCTACTGACAGCTAATATAAAGATATTAGATTCCACAAGCTTAATCTGCATAGAGACCAGAAACACACTTAATGATGAAACACAGACAAGTATTTCTGCATTTCCCTTAATTTTAAACCCATTTTATACAGAATGTGATCTTCCTGCCACAAATACCTACTTCTGTATTTGTATATTTGTCTTGTGGCCAATTTGTATTGGGTGTCTTGTGTCTTCCTATGCTTTTTTATGGATAGTTTCTATTTCTTGTGGTCACAAAATATACAATTTTTACTCGTTTTAAGCATGGTTTCAATGTTAGTTAAATTTTGTCTTCTGTTCTTCTCCCAGCAATCTCTCACTGATGTGTAATTCCCTGCTGCATGTAGCTTGTAAAAATGGACAAAACCCTGGGTGAATATTTCTGTCACTTCTTGGGAGTTGGAGATCTAAAACAGAAGTGACACAACCTTGGACTGCATCATCAACTTGCAGATTACTGTAGCTGTGCTTTGCTAAAGCTTTGCCAGAGATTTATTTCCCATGGTGGAAGCAATATTAATTTGACTTGAGTAACTCAGATATCATATGGGATATAAAATTCTGTAGCTACTTGCAGCATCCTTGTCACTGATCTCATTCTTTAGGAAGAATTTGAAATGAAACTCCACAGCAAAGTAGTTGAACATCACACAAGTTTGGGGTTTTGTATGCAACATCAGTTATCCTACAGTTGCCTCCTCTATCAGTTGTGCCATATATAGCATTGCTACTTGTGGCTTTTGTTCTGAAAAGAGCCAAAACAGGGGAATTTGGCAATTTTTGAGTGCAGTTTGTCACGGGGGGGAAAGTGTACAACATATTCTTCTAAAGTTATAGCCCATTAAAATTGCTGTTTTACACCATTCTGGATTAAACATAGCCCCTTTTCATTCGCCTGTATCACAGGGGTGGTTTTTGTTGACTCTACTGCTGATCTCTTCTGGTCCCTGGACAGCCACTAAATAGATTTCTTTGTTTTAGGCATGCGTGTAGAGTGATCCATGCAACAGTGAGGAACCTGCCATGGTGCAGTCCATAGGTGACACCTGTGCAGCTGCCCTCAGCAGGATGCTGCTGGTTCCCCTCACCATCCACTTCCACTCAATGGAAACACTGAAAAGACAAGCAGGCTGGGAAGCCCAGGGCTCTCTCTACATGATGTTGCACTGCGTGGCCCCACAACAATCTTTGATAATTGCCAGCCCTGCCTTGGCAATGGTGGGCTTGCTTGGAGGAGGTTCTGCCTTCTTTTCTGCTGGGCTGCCTGCAATGTTCAAAACAGGACACCATTAGAAACAAGAGCTGCTCAAACCCTTCCCTCCTACTTCTGCCCTAAAGGGTGCAAACCTTTCCTGCCCTCTCTCCACCCACCCTGAATTTTCAGCTCCTGATTGAACAATACTTTGCTGGTTTGAAACTGCTCAGAAAGTCTCATTCCTTCAGGGAAGAGTGTTTAGAGGAGCTAAACAATCCATACATCTCAAAGGGAGGGTAAACTTTTATCTGGTTCAAGGCAGGTGTCCCTTTCACAGCCATGGGTCCTTTCACAAAGTCATTTCACTGTTTACCTCCCAACAAGGAAAGGAGCTGAAGGACAAAAGTATTGCTAGAATTTATTCTCTCATTGGCTTGGATGTGGTAATTAAGGGAACAAGATAAAGGTAGGTTTTCATTTTTCAGGGTGAAAAGAATCTTTTCATCTTTAAAACTGCATTTAAAAGCAATGAGAAAGTAAACAAACAAGGGAGATGAGTCATGCTCCCTGTGACTAAGGGAGTATAAATAATTAGTGATGCATCTTAAAATGTCTCTTCTCAACTTCAAGGTCATCCCAGTCCCTCTGGAACTCTTGAGCAAGATCTTGATCTGTGCAAAATGGCACAATGTTTGATTCAAACCTCTTCAGCTGCTGGACCTCTCTAAGAAGGGCACTGCTCTCACTTGACTCTGCCTGAGAGCTCATCTTGAGACAGGGCAAAATCAATCTGTGAGCTGCTACAGCTCCTGCTGTGGCTGTGACTGTTCTGTTTGAAAGCTGCACTAAAAGCTTCTGAGGCACCACGAAATCCACTTTGTCTCTCAGAAACCAGTGTGTTTCCATTCTGCCTACAAGTGGTTTGGTTGGGGTGATTCAAAAGCCTATTTCTGATGGAAATATGTAAGAAATTTGGGTCAGCTGTGGAAGTTTGCAGTTTTTTCTCTAGTTTCCATCTTGACTGCAATAAAACAGGTAAACTTTGTTTCAGATATTCCAGCATGGACCTGAAGTGGTTTTTTTTCATTATTTTTGAAGAAACAGATAGGAAAATTATTAATAAAAATCAAACTGCTTAGAAAAGCAGCTTGTGGCACTGTGTATACAAATATACTTTGCATATTTAAAACATACAGAGCAACTCTGAGGTGGCCATAGGTGACTGAAATTCAGTTTTAAGGGGTAATTTGCTATCTGAAGTCTAAGTGGCCAGCAGTTGCTGACACCCTGAGTTGTTCCTAGGTGATCTAGCTAGCTTCACCTAGTTTTTGCCAGAGTGAAAATGCTCTTCTAATCAGTTGTCTTTGGAATTTTTCCTTTTGCCCTTGTTTTTTTCTTAATGATTAGGAACTCACTGGTAGGAGACTGTGTTGCTTTGTCGATGGGTTTTAACTTGGTGCGAAGGAACTCAGCCATCTCTCTGTCTTCTTCCTTTTCCCTGGTGGAAGGAAGGAAAATAGAGGAATGAGTTTTCTCTGTAAACGGGACAGCAAAAGCTAGAGCGGCTAGGATCAAGTCACTAGTAAACAATTAATTTCTTTGCTATTTTTAGAAACATTTAATTTTGCTGCCTATTAAAAAGCAAAATATTTGCATAAATGAAAACTGCTGCTGAGGCTTTGGTGGTTTGCACACAGGGCTCAGTGAGAGCTCTGGGTTCAGCTCTAGCTCAGGCTCCTTGTCAGCTGCTGCCTCTGGCCAGCTCTCTTTGATCAGCTGCAGCACTGGCAGAAGCTTTGCCAAATCCTCTCCTTGCCGGCTCAGAATGTCAATGTGTTGGAGGGGATATTGTCACTTTGGATAAATGGATTGAGTCTCTACTGCTGAATGAGGGGGAAGTAAGAGCAAAACTGACTCTGTAGAGTGCTGATCTCAAACCAAAGATTGGATCTGGGTGCTGGAAATGAACTTCTGAGGAAGCCTGCAACTTTGGGCTAATACTTTGGGAGATGAAACCCTTCAGAACCTGCCCATGTGTTAGGTAGGGCTGTACTGCTGGGTCCTTTTTAGTTGGTTTGGGTTGTTTTGCTGTGACAAGATGGGAATAGGAGTAATCAACCTGACAACATGAATAATTTAAAAAGGAGGATTTTAGATGTCTCCAAATATGCCCCTTGTAGAATTCCATTTCATGTCTACCTTCTTATCCCAAGAGAATTCCCTGGTAGCAGCATAAATCCTTTTCTTTTCAATGGTAAATGCCCAGATTGTTTCTGGGAGGAAAATAAGAGACCAAAGCTCACTGTTATTCATGAGATGACTGAATCATTAATGGGATAAAGAGCCACAGAATTAGAGTAATCTGATTTTAATGGTTTTTCCAATGGAATGGAGAGGAGGCTTTTAACTTGGTAAGTTGTTTTGAAGGACCAATTCTCTCCCATTAATGTTGATTTAAATTCTGTCACTTAATCTATTGTATTATTAGGCTTGTCGAATGCCACTAAATAAGTTCAGTTGCTCTTGGTTCTTACCTTAATCTCTCCACCTCTGCATCATCTACAAGAAAATCTCTTTTTTGTACCAGTCGATGAATCTTCTGAATCAGCTCATCCTCTCTCTGCTTCTCCATCTTTGTTTTTTCTTTTTCTGGTCAAAAGGAGAGAAAAGAGTGTGTTACTTTGGGCTCTGGGGAGTGTGAGGGGGTGGTGTAGGAGGGTGCAGATGTCTGAGGATCAGCTGCTGATTGAAGTCAATGGTTTTCCAGCCTGAGTCACCGAAGCCCAGCAAGCTGGGTCACTGCCTCTGCTCTCCTCTCTTGCTGCTCTTGGCTCTGATCAGCTTAATGGACTGAAGGCTCTGTGGGGTTTGCTAAGTCTGCTTTTAATTTGCAATGACACTTCAAGACATTGCTTGGAAAATTTTTAAGAGCTTTGGCAAGAAAATAGTTCCAGATGCTTTGTTAAAATCACACGTGCAAACTCCATTTGACCTCAGGGGAAAGGAGATCACACCAAAAGGAACTATTTCTCTGTGTTTCAAGACAGCTTTGGCTGTTGAAAACAACACCTTTTTTTCTATTCTGACAAGGCAGGTGAGCTGCAAATCCCCACCAACAGCATCAAATGTAAAATGTGGAAAAATAAATGCAAGTTTATTTTCCCTGTACTTCAAAAATCTGAGTAATTAATATATGTCCTTGTTAATTGGCCAGCCTGGAATGGCTAGGTTGTCTGTAAACAACAAATTCTGTGGCATGAAAGATGTGCCTGTTGCAAACTAAAAGTCATAAATGTTGGGGATTACAGAGCTGTCATTTCAGGCTATAAAGCAAATGTATTTAAGACAGAACTCTTCAAATCTTGCAAGTGCAGCAGAGATGAGAAAGCCAGAGGCAAATCCAGGCTCATGTATTTCTCTGAGAAGCCGAAAATTTTGATCAGCTATGAAGACGCTTTGTATTAAATCAAGATTTTGGGCTTTGGGCAGCAGAACTGCCCAGTTCAGTTCAGTGGGAGTGGGGGAGGCAGAGTGAGCTCTGCAGTCTGACCATCTGAGCTGTGCTGTGGCTGCTGATTAAGTTATAAGACACTTTAAATAGCCAAACTAATCAGACACTTGAAAACAATTGTTTTTAGTAGATTTAAAGAAAAAGAATGCTTAGAAGTGGCTGCTTTTTCCTGCTTTGTCTGTTATGGCTAAGGAGCAAGGACTCCCCTCACTTCTGAAGATAGAAGATCCTTTCTACTTCCTCTCAATCTATCCCTTTCCTAAATTGAGATGTGCTCTCCCATTATATCCTTCAGGAAACTGTCTACTAAAAATGTTAATATATGTGGCAAAATATTTCATATTCTATGTACTAAAAGACTGATTCCACACTTACTGAAACTGGCCAAACTGTGTCCACTGAAACCAAAGAGCAGCTCTCCATACAAACTTGTATTCTTACAGGAAAATTGTGGTGCAGATCCTGTGAATGAATCCATTTCCGGAAAGTGTTTTTCCAGGTCAGGCACATGCTGTGTCAGCACAAACTCACTGCCAGCAGCTGCTTTGTCTTGGTCAGGACCAAGCTCCTGTGACCCTGCCTGCAGATGCTGCTGCTGGAGCTGCACCTCTTGGACTCCTAAATGAGCTGAGATTTGTGAAGTTCTAAGGAGAAACTGCTCTCTGTGGGTCTCTGCTTGAGGCCTTGAGACTGGAAAAATCACTTATAAAAGATAAAAAAAGCCCAAACAGCAGGAACACCAAAAGAATGAAAGCTGATTAACCCTATCTGTTAGTTCAATGTACAGGAAAGCTGCAGATCAGGAAAGTCAGGCAAGGGGCAGCATTCACAGATATTTTCCAGGATTTGTAATCCTTTCCATTAGAACAAATAATGAACCAACAGTGTTGTTACTAAAAATTTAAAATGTGACCTCTACTAAGTACAAGGAAACAAAAAGTAAGAAATATTATTAATCTATTTCTGTCAGGTGCAAAATGTGGCAAAGTTTTTACACAGCTAAAAGTGATTGTTTCATAATAGATCTCTTTCCTATGTCACGAATGCCCCTCTCTCTCCTTTCTGAGGACAAAGTTGTCCTTCAAAGTTGCACAAAAAAATAAGAGGAGGAAAAATGAGGATAACCAAAGGATAGACAAAACTTGGACTTAATAGTTAAGCAGGAGCAGTTAAGCAAATTATTTCTGCAGGGTGCTGGAGGTTGTGCAGTAACATGTGGTGTACTGGCCTGCTGCAGTTGCTGAGTGTTTTGCAGGATCTATTTTTTCCTTGAATAGAGTGGGGCTGTGGATGGAATTCCTCACTGATGGCAGCTGGAGCTCTGAGCCACAGACTGCAGAACTGCCCACAGCTCTGTCCCTCCTTCAAACACTGAATTTGCAGAGATTTATGGCAAAACACAAAACAGAGTTTTGGGCCTTGCTTTTCATAGAAACTTGTTCTTGAATGTAGAAGGTAAATTTAACTACAGGTGTGATAATGGATTGGTGTAGCAAGGAAAAAATCAATCACATTCACAGTGATGGTTATAAATCCTTCTCCTCTCCCTCTTTTATCTCTGGTATCTCAGCACTTGTCTTTTTTACCTGACAATCTCTGTGCCACTTGGTTCCCTTGAGATTGCCAGGGGAGCGCAAGAAATAAGGGATGTGCTCCTTGTTTGAGTGATGTCTGCAGGATTGCTGCCATGGGAGCAGTGAAATACAGCATGAAAAGAAATTTAGAGACAGAGATTAGAGATGGGCAGGAAAATGGGAATAAAAAATGAGGACTGGAGGAGAAAGATATGAAACTGCACCTTGTGGGGAGGAGATTCTGGTTGTTGGGGCATGGGTGGGGATGGTGCCAGGAGCACATTAGGTGTTATCCTGACACTGGGTGGAGACAGCCATTACCTGGGATTGCTACCAAAGTCTGCAGCTCCTGCTTAAGGTTCATAATGTCTTTGCACAGCTGGATGTCATCCATCCTGCAGGAACAGAAAAAGCATGGTCAGACATGCAAACCCCACTCTGTGTTGATGGGATTGGCCAGATCTGATCTGAGTACCTGGCCCTGGCCTTGCCTGGGACCTGCCAGCCTCAAAGGGATCCTGACACTCTTGGCTCACCAAGTTTCACAGAAAGCAAAGGGTATTTAATACTAAATAGCCATTGAGCCCTTGGTTACTTGTCTTACTGACACTAATTTGTGTAGTCTTACAGACACTGATTTGTAGGTTCATACCTGTCACTGTGGATAATTTCAGATTTTACTTTCTTGAACATCAGAGAACATTCTGGAGTGGGCACCTGTCTCCATAATGTCCTGGGAAAAGACAGGTGAGCCACATTGCACTTACTGCAGCAAGAGTTTTCACCAGGGAAAGAGCAAGAACAGCAGAGAGCCTGGGAAGGGGCAGCAGAGGGTGACAGATTATTTGGCACAGCCAGGACAAGGTTCATATTCTACCACCAGTTTTCTTTGAGACCCTACTAATAATTCAGCTCTAACAGCAGAGATCTGGAAACTGACATAATTTGGCATTTATCTGAGGTTCTGTGCCTTGGGTGAATGTTCTCCATGGCTGATGTTAAATGCTTTAAATCCTTGATATGTGCAGAAAGCCCATTAATATTAAGACACAGCAGACAGCTTAAAAAAAGAAAAAATAACATTAGCAGAAACTGCACCTTCAGCTCTCATTGAAACTGCTGCTTCTCCTGAGAGCTGCCACTGAATCACTGCCCTGGAAGGCAGCAGCATCAGCATCATCCTCCTGGCACAGGTTTTATCCCAGTGCCACAGGGGCAGCCAGGGCTCAGGTGTTGGCTCCAAGGGCACATCTGGGGCTTTCATTTGGAGATCACCCCCTGAAGAGCACAAACCCAGCCTGTGTGATTAATTGTACATTCTCAGCTTGGATCTCACCGACACCCTCCCTGCCCACGGATCTCTGGGCTCTGTTTTGCACAATCCTGTGCCTGAGGAGGGGACTTGCTGCTGCCTGGGCCCCTGGCGCAGCTGAAGTGCCATCAGAGCAGGGCTGGCACTGTGTGTGTGTGTGTGAGAGAGCCCCCAAAGGGCAATGCAGCCAAATCATTGAATTAAGTGAGGAGTGGGAAAAGTAGGTGTTTCTGGCACAAATAAGACTTTAATCACACCCCAAGAGCTTTTATTCTCCGTGCTGCCTCTGCCAGGATTGCAGGTCTCTGCAGGGAGCTGTCCTTCAGCTGCTTTGCTCTTGTTAGTAAAACATGTTGATCCCTCTGTTATTTGCTGCTTGGGTTAACTCCATCTTGCCTGTTCTGCTACTTTCCCTGTGCTATGACAGCTATTCCTGCTGCCTTTTCACCCCTCTCCTCCCAAAATACAACCATGAAATACCTCTCCTAATAATGTTTATTGTTGACCTCTTTTCCTTCTCTGTGTACCCCTGTCACTCCCACTGGGATCTGCTCTTCCACTGCCCATCTGTCTTGTAAGACTTGGTTTTGGTGGGAAGAGCAGCATGTTTGCCTCAGGACTGGAGCAGGGTCCTTTGCTCTGTGTGTTTAGGACACTTGGAGGCAGAGATGTTTTTACTGATGAATATTCTGACTTAGGCTCCCCATTTTATTCACTCTCATCCCAAGCAAAGCCTGCTTTACTCTTGAGATCCATCACACTAAATGGTGCTGGAATTACTTTTATCAATTAATCTTAAACTGTCCTCCCAGGAGAATGAGAATTCAAAATGTGCTGGGATATGAGCAAGGCTCACAGCTCTTTATCTATTCAGTGCTCAAGCACTTTGGGTGGCATGTTGGTACATCTGACTAGGATGACCATGCCTAGCAAAGATGACATTTTCTTGGCAAGAAATGTTCAATATTGAACTGCTGTAATCAAATTATATCAGGCCACACCCTCAATTAGTAAAGAGAAGAGTGAGTTTCTACAAAAGAGATCTCTGTGATAGACAGAGAGGATTTTTTTCTGATTCAAAAGATTTGGCTTCACTCTGAGAAGCTCTGAAATACACTAATTAAATACTTTACTATATCACTTTGGCTCCCTGCCCTTGCTAGGGAACTCCAAAAAGCTAATGGCACTGCTCTTCTCTGAGGATTTTCAGGAATTTAAAATACCACCAGCAGTATTTTCCAATTGAGCAAGATCATTCATGTTCAATACTCCCTAACTTGTGGCTAAGGTTCTGGCCACATGGTGCAACTTTTTAGTTGCATTTTCTCCTCATTATTTTGGCTGGTTTTCAGTCTGACTGCAGAACATGTAGCTGGCACTCCATGTATATTCTCAGCATCTCTTTTTCCAGAGACCTACACTTTGTTCCTGCCTTGTAACACACAGCAGAGAAGTAAATCCGTGGCCAAAGCACTTTAGGTCTGTAACAGCTCTGTGACCACATGAATTCCAAAAAGTCAGATGACCTCTCCCGAGTCCCAGTTCTGCAGGCTGGTGCATTGTGCTGATGGGCAAAACCTGAACCTACCATCTGCACCAATCCCCTCAAGCACATGGAACATCTTTCTTCCCATCTGTGTCCAACAGCCTTTGTGCTTCATCCACTCCACTGTGCTGATCAGCAAAAAAGTAATAAAAAAAGAGGTTAAATGACGAAAGAGAGGGCTGAAGGACATATGGGACCATGCCAAAGCTTCATCCATCTGATTTAATGAAAGAAGGATCTATGGTTCCTTGTAACTATAAAGCACATCCCACATCTGCCAGAAAATAATACTGAATGTGAATGGTCAGCAGGGTTTGACTGAGAGCATCTTGGTATTACTGTCAGACCTCTTTAGGAAGTAAAAAGTGCTTTTGGAAAGCTTAAGGAATGCAGAAATCTGCAGGGTAGAGGAGAAATTATTCTTTGGGTCCCTTAACCTACAGAAGTTCTTTCTCTTCTCTGGAAGAGTTGGTACATTCTCTTCAGTCCCTGTGAAGACACTTTTCACATTGTACAAAAAACACCAGTGAAGCAAACAGCAGTTACATATGGCAGTTTTTCCTCCAGAGCTGAGCTTTAAATGTCTGCCCAGGAACCCTAAACACATGAGTTATGACAATGATAAAACATTTCTCTGGTTAGGAGCCCAGATCCATTCCTGGAGTAACTGCAATAGTATTGAACTAGGGATGGGTTCTCAGTGTGCTTTTGTGGATTCCTGACACGCTGCCTGCACTTCTGCTCTTCCCTTTCTTGATGGCTCATTGCAGAACCCCCTCTGCATGCTTGGAGACAGCACACAAGCACATATTAGTCTTTTCTCTCAGGGTATTTTAAGCTATATCATCACAACCTACAAGCAGATTCTCTGTTTGCCAGAAAGAAACAACAAAAAACCCAAACCTCATAATGAATAAACAGCGGGAGCAGAAGATTTTCTAAACATGGCACCAAATGACAGGAAAATAAGTGGGTTGGGGAGCCTGCAGAGCCCTGGCACAGTGAGTCAGCCCCATGACATGTTTCTGTGTCCAGCCAGCAGGGGAGAGTGCCCTGAGCACTGTCACTGCCATGCTGCAGGGAGGTGACAGCATGAGTCACCTCTGCTGGCACCATCTACACCAGGGCAGCAGGGCAAGAGAGCCCTCCCTTCCAGCTGGGCCTGGCAAGCCCCTGAGGCTCTGCAAGAAAATGGGAGGCAGGACTTTAAAAAGAGATATTCTGTACCAGACACAAAAGAATTGTTTTGTTTTGTTTCAGTAGAAATTATTCTTCAATAGCTGAATTTTTCTATCTTCTTCTCAGCCAAGGAAGAAATCTGAATTCCCCAGTGTAAGACCTAGGTGCCATCTAGAGACATGCATAGGAAAAAAGGAAAAATTATAGTGGAAGCTCAGAGAAAAATCACTTAACACCCCCCTTAATGTCAGCCAAAAAAAGGACATGGCCAACAAGACTGACAAATACTTCATACTTGAGTGTAAGAACTATTAGTAACACCAACATAAGCATCAAATATAATTTCCATTGATTTCAGGATGAGCAGAGCAGTTCAGTGTGTCTGGAGAGCTTCTGCCTTTGCTGAATGACTTTCAAAGCTAGAAATAGATCTGTGCTCCCTCCAGCATGTCTGTAAGAGGAGGTCTGAGATTTCCTTTGTTTTCTGTTATTGGATTAAAGTGCTTGAAGTTAAAAATGGAATGTAGACCAGGTTTGCTGGTTTCCTTCCCTCTCTTCCAGGAGGGTTTGCAGGCACTTAGATTATTTTTAGGTCTGTTTTAATACATTCCTGCCCCAGGAGTAAAATGCTTGTAATTGTTGGAGTTTCTGAAGATTTGATAGTGCCAGTCCAGGAGCTGGCCAGAGAATCAGGTGTCATGCTAAGTCACAGCTGACAGGATTATGTAACCAAAGGTCTCCATGCAGGGATAAAAAGTCATCTCCTTGGTGGTGAGCAGGCTGAAACCAGCCAAGAACCATCAGTAGTGATGGAGAAATTTGGGGGATTGAAGGAAAGAGATGTGTAGAAATAAAGAGAATTGCTTTAGGGATGGGGATGATGTCAAGCTGCAGACTGGAGGGACTTGAGTGGAGGCTGCCTTTGGGTACTGCAGGTGTTCATGGCTCTGCCAGAGCTGTGGGGGATCTGCAATGGTGGAAGTGTTCTTGGGACTACCAGAGCACTATAAATGTACAGAATCACTGAACTCTTAGAGGTTGGAAAATGCCTCTAAGACAATGGAGTTCAGCAGTTACCTCAGCAGGGCACCATGTCCCCAAGTGCCACATGCAGATGCCTTTTGAACACTTCCAGGGATGGTGACTCCCCCACTGCCCTGGGCAGCCTGCTCCAATGCCTGATCACCCTTCCAGTCAAAACATTTTTCCTTATATCCAATCTAATCCTTCCCTATGCAATTTGAGTCCATTTCCTCTTGCCTTGTTGCTTGTTATGTGGGAGAAGAGACAAACCTCCACCTGATGCTCCTCTTCTACATTTGGCTCCTTTTTGTCCCTGTCAGCTTGGCTTAGTTACT